AACATGACAAAACCAATTTGGGTAAAGACAACACTCGGCTAAATCATATCCAGAATGAAGATTCCATAAGAGAGTAAGCACCAACTGAGGAAACAAATTCCTACTTCACGACTTAATTCCACTGGGAAGAAACAAGGCTTGAAAAATAATCAAAGCAGAAGCTGATAGAAATAAACCAATACAGTTGCAAATATATAACCCCTCCATCCGAGCTTCACCGGGGAATATCATACAAGCTTTGCTAGGGATGATAATGTCATTTTGTTTAGACTTTAACTGGGGATTCCGTACTGAATTCACTAGGGGAAAAAACGCCACATTGTCTAGGGGAGACCAAATACATTCTTCAATGTCAAGAGTAATGGTTGCACAAACTTCTATGGGGAGAAATTTTGAAACTTCCCGGGGATGAAAACTTTTAGAGAGAAGCATCATATTTTCTTCATTTGGGGATCTAAGAAGTTAACAACGTAGCAGTAAGTCAAAATTATTGGGATTTTAAATCAAACTCAGCACTTGGTTAGAGAAAATGACTCATGATTTATCCCTTATCATTCAACTTCTTTCTAAGTTGTCCCAGAACATGTCGATACGCTACAGAACCGGAAATTTTCAAGTGGTTCATATTCGGTTTGAATCTCCGCCATGTTTCCTTCGGTGTTATCTTCTTAAGCTTCTTTGTTGGATACCTATTCAATAAATATGAAGTTATGGATACAACTTCTCACCTAAATCTTTTGGCAAGTTCCTCCATTTCAACCTGCTTCTCACCATGTTTATAATATATCGATTTTTACTATCGGCAATACCGTTTTATTGTGGTGTATAGGGTGGTACTACCTCATGCACTATCCCTTTTTCATCATAAAACTTCCAAAAGTCATTTGAGACATATTCGCCTCCACCATCCATTTTGAGAACTTTCAGCTTGTGACAACATTGTCGCTCAACCATGGACATGAACTTCTTAAACACTTTGAATACCTCATTATTTCTCATGAGTAGGTATTTCGATAGCTTTCTACTATAATCGTTGATAAATGTGACAAAATATCTATTGCCATCGATCAAACTTGCATCGACCCACACACATTGGAATACACCACCTCAAGGCGATGCTTGATTCTAAAACCTTCATCCTTGCTGAATTTACCCTTGTGTTGCTTCGCTTGCACAAGCTCTTCACAAATTTCAACTGGTATGTTGATGAATGACAACCCAGTTACCATTTCATTCTTTTGTAATGCATTGAGGTCTCTGAAATTTATATGCCTAAGACGGTAGTGCCACATCCACTCTTCTAGACTCGCCAATGTACCAGAATACCTATGCTCCATAAGCTTCAAATTAATCTTTTAAGTTTTATTGGCAGCCATAGGATCTTTAAAGGCCAAAACCATGTTTGCATCCATAACGATCAATGTCTTGTCTTCCATATGAATATTGTAAGCCTTATCAATCAACTGATCAATACTTAGAAGGTTACACTTAATTTATGGAATGTAATATACATATTTGATCAAGGAATGTCTATCACCCCTCTTCATGATCAAAATATAACTGATTCCATCGGCCTCTAGAGTGGTGTCATCTGCGAATTTCACTTTATTCCTTGTGGCTTGATTGATTTTGACAAACCAATTCTTCCTTCCTATCATATGTGTAGAATAACCAAGATCCAAATATCATTCCTCGCTACACTAGACTCCTTCTTTCATAATTACCATAACAATTTTGGGCATGTAATTGGTTGTTGTGTTTATGTAACCAGTTACTAGACATTTCTGCAGCGTTCCCATTACTATCGATATTATTGTCCCACAGTCTGCTGCTGTTGCATTCACCTTATGTGATCATGCCCAAGAGTGTATTCTCTTCATCAAACTTTTGTCTTGGAACCTTGGCTTCATCTTCTTGAGGTTCCTTCTTGTTCAATAGTCTCTGCGTTTCTTACTTGGGTTAAATGAGTTTAAGGTATGAGGTGCAGAAAGTAAATTATCAGCAGAAAATAAATGCATTATTTGGAGAGGAGATAACTTTTCCGGGTTTGAATTTCATTTACCCTATCAAATACTTAAACCTATTACTCAGTTATACGCAACCTAAATCACTGGTGAAAATTATCATGTATCTTTCACACATAGGTTATTTCTAACATAGAGTGAGATATCAATCGTATTTCTCTCAAATGCAATGTCGCGCACAAAATACAACACAAAGGCATCAAGAATCGATACCCACGTGAATATTAAGCCTAAATCTATTTCTAGAATCTAGAACCTAATAGATGTTCATCCTAAGTGCGGATTCGAACCGTACATGTCTATAGAAACTCAAATCCAAACAAAGCAAGCAATCATCAATATTGATTTGTGAAAGAGGTTTTATACAACACCATGAGCAATAATTGCACATATAATCAAGGTAAACTTACATACAACCTCACACCAAATGAAAACTACAAAGGGAATAGATGAGAGGAATCAAAATCTCTCGCGGTGTCAATCACGATCCAAGAATCATCAACCCCGAATTTTCGAGTTGCAACCTCAATTGATGTTTTCTAAGCTCTCTAGATCAAAGAATGTTTGGTGATGGAATGGGAGCAAAAAATTCCCAAACCATTATCCTAAAAATGTGTGTTTTTGCCCTTAAAATGAGTTTTTTTCCCCGACCGTCTCGCCCAACGACCAAAAATCTCGCCAGCGAAGCGTTTTATTCATAAAATGCAGTGTAGGAACAGGCAGGCTCACCCCAACCTCGTTGGCCGAAACTGACAGCAAATAGCAAAAAGATTTCTTACTTTCACCATAACTTGAGAATCGTAACTCCGATTTACGCACAGACGGAAGCGCTGGAAAGCGTATTCAGTGCTCTATCTAACAATGGCTAAATACCAATGAAATTGATTATTTTCTCTTCTTTTATTTGAGCCTTATTCTTTGATGAATTGCTCAAAATTGCATCTTTGAAGTTGTGCCTTTGAGCCTTATTACTCAATACTCCAAATATGTATGAATACATACCAAAAGAATGAAAAACCATCAATCGATACATTAATTACACAAAAACACAAATATACATAATATGTACACAAAAGTCGGGGTTTTACTATAAAAATCAAAAGACTAAAGCTGATAAGTTTCACAAAATGTAACTGAAAATAATGACATTGTGACACTTATCACTTCCTTATGTGTTGCTCGCTGTGCATTCGTTGCACCTTCGACAAGAGGATTCACCACATTCTTGATCACTTCGAGAACATCTTTGTAGCCAAACTAAACCTTCATTTGTTTGCACCATTTATCGTATTTCTTCGCATAAAAGATTAATAAGTTTGTAGGAATTCTTTCATTGGAGACAAAATTCATGTTGCATATTAGGTGTTTGAAGGATCAGAAGCAGACTCTTGATGTCAAATGTTAGAAATTTGAATTACACTTTAGTGAACAATGAAGGGTTTGAGTGTGGAGAATGAGAGAGAGAGAGAGAGAGAGAGAGAGAGAGAGAGAGAGAGAGAGAGAGAGAGAGAGAGAGGAGAATTAAAGAGAGATAATTGAGGGTGGAATTTTTTTTATTTCATTTCATTAACCATTACAAGAGAAAAAGAAAAATGTCGGACTTGTAATTTAGATATAAAACATTATGACAAATAAGAGAAAAAACAAAATGTCGGACTTATAACCGGTTACAGCAGCTAAATAAAGAAATCAACTAACAGTTGTAATCGATTACTGTGGATGCGTAACCGATTTCACCAACTCCAAAAATATTTTTTCTTTAATTTATTAACTTATTTTTTATGTCTTTAGTCGATTATCCCTATACTAACCTATTACATTACTTGAAATACTCAAAATCTCTTATTATGACACTTTGATGTGTTCATCTCATCTCATTCCATATTTTACAGAGTTTTGCTGATACAATCAATAATATAAATTTTTACAATTTTTAAAGTAGAAATTAATAGTATTCACATACTCTCCCTATCTCGCCGTCATATTTTTGTTGGAAAAATCAAGGTATTAAATCCTTACCCTACACAACATCCATCTCGTCCCAATATTTTTTTTTACATACTTTTACAAAACATATCTATATGAAAGAGATATATTTGTTTGCCACCCTTAATAGCATTTGTTGGGGACACCTGATTCGAGAAATGGAGTTAGAAATCTCTCTTTAGAACAGCAAGGTAGACAAGTACTCCTTCCCGCCCAAAACTGATGATGCTGTATCGACCAACCTCTAGCTAACCTTTTAGTTTCTGGTTTTTCATTAAATGTGGTTGTTGCTCATTTCAATGTAGCTAGACCGTAAATACAAAGATCCAATCTAGTTGAATTCTTTTCCACTAAAAGACTGAAAAACATTTCTAAATGCACATAGTAATATTTTGAATTACACTATATAATAGCCTCATTATCTAATACTCAAAAAGCTTTGAATTTTTTATAAAAAAATATAAAAATTCATATGTAACAATGTTTCTTCTCCTAAAATAATTAATATAATTTAAAAAAAAAATTAATTTCGTTATCGAAAAATAAATATTAATTTATAGACGGTTGTTGTCTGTTTGTTTGTGGTTTGTTTGTTATTTTTATATAATTTTTATTATATACAATTTTTTACTTTTATAAAAAACATATATAAAAAAATGTTTTTTCCTCGTATGAATAAAAGTATGTTAAATGGTGTAATTTTTTTTATTGTATAGTGCTAGCATTTATTTGTAAGGCTGTAAAAATTAAATAAGAAACTACTGTATGGTGACCTAACAAGTTAATGTACAGGTTTCCAAATTGTCCCACCTCATCTTTAAAATCTTCCCCCATCTGACTTGCCTTTAATGCCCTCAATCCAACTTCATTACTCATTCATTTCTTTCTTCTACACCTTCAAATTTTTCATTTTGAATTCAATCCACATTTACTCACTTACCATCCTTCTTAAATTCATCAAACAAAAACAAACCAAAAAAAAAACCAAAAATGATGAAGAAAAAAACATTGAACCTCTCTTCTCTTCTCAGAAACACAGACCTCAAATATTCATCTCCATGGCCATGGCCTTATTGTCACCAACCAAAAACACTTTCTTTCAGAGGTGAAAATAATAACCAAGATGACATTAACAACACATTCAAAATCATCAACTCAGCTTACTTGGAGCCTTCTGAATCTCTTTCTCCAAAAGCTTCTTCTCTTGATGACTCAGGAAAAACCGATTCGACAGAACCCGTTATTCGCGGGTTACCGTCTGATCGGTTTTTCTTCGAGCCGGACGAGACCAACTCCATTTTAGATGCTAATAATAAAGCCGTTATGCATAGTGAAAGTGAAGCTACTCAGAGTTTACCATTCAAAGATAGTGTTGTGTTATCCATGGAATCTCAAGATCCTTATCTGGATTTTCGAAAGTCTATGGAGGAAATAGTGGAAGCTCATGATGTCAAAGATTGGGAGTGTCTTCAAGGGCTTTTGTGTTGGTATTTGAAGGTTAACGAGAAGAACAACCATGGCTATATCGTTGGTGCTTTTGTTGATTTATTGGTTGGTCTTGCATTTACTTCGACTTCGTCTTCGTTTTCTTCTTCATCTTCTTCATCTTCTCGTTCTCCTTTTTCTCCTTTATCGTTTTATAGTTCTTCTCTGTCTTCCTCTTATTGCACTCGCTGTGCTTCGTGTTCTGCGCCTCGCGAAGAAGAGGTTGATACTCCTTGTTCTTCTTTGTTGTTAGAACAAGTTAGGGAGGAGAGTGATGATGGCGAAGATAAACTACTAGAAGCTTCAACTTCATTTTCGTCATCATCAACTACTCATTGATTTAAGGTGAAGTAAAAGATTTTAATTATGTATAACTCTTAGTACTACTAATATTGTATTATAAAGTAACATTTTTTGTTTTATGATTTTTCATATCTAATTTCATTCTCTTATAATTCAAGATTCTTCGCATTTATATAGTTAAACATGTTATATTTTAAAACCAACAAAAAGTAATATGTATTTTTAGTTTGTCTGATCTTATTTGAACGTTCACTGAATCATGTAATGAATGTGTAAATGCGAACGATAATAAATTCAAACTCTTTTTTGCACTAGTGTGTTTGAGTTTGTGTTCAATGTAGGTCACACGTGTGGTTAAAATGCAAGCGTGTGAGAGTATATTTGAGCTAGGTACTTGAGATGGTCACTTTCTATTTGCTTTCAGTACTGAATGTGAAGAAATAGATGGGGAAATTTCTATTTTTGTCATAACTAATTATGCAGTTACTGTCATTTCAAAAAAACTAACAATTTAGTCCTTAAAATTAAAATCTATAGATAAATTTGAAAAAAAACGGATAAAAAATCTATAGATTTACTTACCGATTTTAATTTTAGAACTAAAATATTAGTATTTTGAAATCACAAGATTAATTTAAAAAAAAAATTGAAATGACAAGGTTACTTTTACATTTATGTATAGTCATAATCTTATGAAAAAATCTATGTAGTTTTTTTTTTTTATGTAGCAAAATGACATCAAATCCTCAATTGCTTTCATTGAGACAGACAGTGTATCCTCTTTCTCATTTTGAACAATGTTTTTTCTAGCCAACATGACATTATTTATAGAAATTAATAAATATTACTATGAAACATGTTAGATTGTTAGGTAAGTGTTTTGCTTCAACGGCATTCTATAATTTATGACATACATAGTTAACTTGTACTAGCTTGTTGCAAAACCAAGCTTCCTCTGATGTCTTACAAATAGTTAAATAAGGGAAAAGTATTGTCAAATGGAGACAAAAAAAAAACCATAACTTTTACATGCAATTAAGGACTTGTAAGTTCAAAGTTTCTTGATTTTTCTGAATATTTTTTATTTTATTTGTATAACTACCACCATAAACTTGATTTTTGTTATGAATCGTCAGCAAGATCCATGACAAAAGATCTAAGGACGAATTTTAAGTGAGAACTTATGTAGAATAGATTAACATTCACTTTGAGTAAAAGTGGACGATTCTATCTTCTAACGCATTGATCACTATCCAATTCAATGACACAGATATCAATCCATCATGTTGCATCACTGGCGAATGATGTTAACTGTTCTTGATTTATAATAGTAAAAGTGTGTTATTTCAAAGATTCAAATTAATTCTCACTTTCACATTACTTCGGATTCTTTTATCAATTTGAATGTTAGAGTATTAAATTTACGAATCTGCCCATTTCTTCACATCAAAAATATTGCTCTATCGTTTCATCTTGTATTTCTAGTTTCTAACCGAATAGAATGTTAGAGTGTTAACTTTTCAAATCTGTCCACTTCTTTGCATCAAAAGTTTTGCTCTATCATTTCATCTTGTATTTCTAGTTCTTAACCAAATATAGTTAGGAAAACACTTGATTGTATAAACAAATATCATGTGAATTAGAAAATAACTAGTAGTAATATATAACAAAAAATCATGATTTTGTGCAAGTAAATCACACGTGTAGTTACCCTAAAAGTGTGACATCCACCATTGAATTGATCAAAGATGAAAAAATGAGAGAAATGAGAGCCATTGGTTTTGAAATTAAGCAGTCATTATCAAATGATGGGTACGAATCCAGCGCAGAAGTATTTTGGCATATGGTCCTCTGCATCTGCAATAGCCAGCAACGTTATCTATATTTCATACCACTTGTGTTTTCAAAAACATTGTCTCTATATGTGTCTCTAATATTTTCTGTGTCAACTTGATTTGGATTTAATTCTTGTTTTTGAATCCAATATCTATCTTTCTATCTGTTTCCTGGAAAATTTAGTAATAGTACAAATACCTGTCACTGAATTCACCTTTGCATTGGTTAGCACAATTATTAAAGTCAATTTTATTGAATATATTTTTTTACATAATTTCCAATATTTTTCAATTTATATACAATTTTATTTTGTTTTCTTTTATTTGTGCCTTCTATTTTAATATTTACAACACTTTTAGTTTAATATCTTATATTCATATTTTATTTAAGAGTCTCATTTAAATTGATAAATATTAAAGAAAAATATATTAGAGATTCTTTAAGTTATTTGTTTGTAATAAGTTGGTTCTTTAAGTTGTTTTTTTTTACAATAATTTGGTCTTTTAAGTTATCAAATGTGTGTAATAATTTGGTCTTTTAAGTTATCAAATGTGTGTACCGTTATTCCTTTTTAAAAGAGAAAATGTGTTAATTGTAGATGCAATTATTTTAAGTGATATGAAAATGATGAAGTATATTCAAAAATACAACAATCAGTATTTTTAAATGTTCAAAATGTGAGAAAAAGAGATAGAAATCATCCTAAAGGACCAATTATCAAAAAAAAAATTAAATGACCAATCTGTTACCAAAAAAAAAAAATTTAAAGAATCCTTAATATAATTTTATCTAAATATTAATATTGTTAGTTGAACATCAAAATCTGTGTTTGAATTTGAAATCTCATAACACGGTAACAATGATTAGAGATTAGTTAAAAAGTTAGTTAGGATAAGAATTTAGTTATGGTTGTTAAATGTTAATAATTAACTCTAAAGGTGGTTGAACCACGATGTATACAAGTGAGAGCATAGTTCCACTATAGAGTAATGAAAACATAATTTAGTAATAAGAAGATCGATGCATACACAAATGTTTCATATCTCTTTCCCGTGCAAACATGGTATCATAAAAACAAATATTTTATATGCGTTTTTAACGATACGATAATCATTATAAAGTTTGTCAAACTTAGACATTTTCAAAATATTTTTAAATTACACATTTACAAAGCATTTTCAAAAGTGAGCTAGCGATTAAGAGTCCGTAGATAACTACGGATGAAAAGGGTGCTAACACCTTTCCTTTTCATAACCTACTCCCCTTACTCAGAAAAATTCTCAAAAGTCTTTCCTGTTCTTTTCATTCTTTTCTTTATTGGATAAAAGAAAAGTCGGTGGCGACTCTTGCTATTCGTAACATTTGCGATAAAATGCAAAACCTAAAAGTCAATTCTTCCACTGTATTACACACTTAATAAAGAAAAAAAATCTAAAATTGGTTCTTAAATCCTTGGACTATGGTTACTATCCATTTTTATCTGATGCATGATTCTTATTCGGTTTTCATCTGATTATTATCTTTGTGTTTGAATCCAAGGGAAAGAATTAATTTGTTGACTTCATGTCATCGAGTGTATCTTATATGATTGTGCAAATTCCTTCACCCGTCTTTAAGTTTTGCTAATCTTAAGTTAGATCTCTAAAAATTTCATTTTTAAACTTACACTCTTTTAAGCCAAAACCTCGATATTATGTTGTTACATTTTCAAAATTCCTTTAAACTAATATTTTAGCAAACAACTAATTTTAATACACAGATATAATAAGAGGTTCCTCTAGAGTACTACAGATGCATTGGGTGCTAACACCTTCCCTTTGTATAATCAACCCCCAAACTTTAGATCTCTCTATTGCACTTGCTTTTACTTCTTGCATTGCATATTTACTTATGAGTTTTATTTTTCTTTTTTCCCTTCCCTTAGAAATAAAAAAGCGCGGTGACGACTCTTGCTTATTTGCGAGTCAAGTTAATTAATAGCTTGATCTTCGATTTTCACCACTACAGAATTGGTGACTCTGCTGGGGATAAATTCTAAGAAGGTTAAGCCTAACTTGTTATATATGTGTTTATGTTATTATTACTTGTTTGTTGTTTTATGTGGATTTGCTTGATTCTTTGGGTATTTGGTGAACTCTTATAAGTCCTATCCGGACTTGTGCAAACTTAATATTAGGATGGATGGTATAGTCATGTTAACTTTGAGGGAGTAATCCCGAAAAAAGAGGCATGAGATCCCCCACTCAGTGGAGGCCCCTTTGGCTGTAGTATTCATTTATCGAGTAATCAGAAAGACATTGCTGCTTTCGACCTGGGAGCCAGAGAAGCTGAGAAGCCCTAGAATCCTTAACCCAACTGAGATGCTGTGTGGTGTCATAAAGCACTAACTGACCGTAGAACCTTTGTTGACACAACTTAGCCATTAGAAAGTAGTGAGATAGTCGACTTTAGTGCAGACTGAAGTTGGTTGATACTTGATGCTACACTCATTGAGATTTAACTCTCAGGATATTTCGGTCGCAAATCAGATGCTTGTGTTGAAACAATGCCTGGGAGAAATATCAGTGATATTGAGGCTCCCAGAACCTGGTTACTTCTTTTAGGACAGGTTGAGTCAACTAAAACTTCAAGAGGGTACTTACTTATAAACTCCTTGCAAGCTTAAACCTAAGACCTTGTGTGTTTTGTTTGTCTATGATTAAATTGTTCGTACATAACATCATCACATCACCACATCATACCATATCATTTTCACTAGCCATTTCAAGGACCAAGGGGTTTATCTTTGTTCTTTATTGTAGGTTATAGCCTCTGCTCACAGAAATACTATCTGGATCAACTTTGTAAGAGTGCCTCCTCAGCTTAAGGAGTTAGTCTCAAGGGTTCCCGAAAGTTCTCCATTTATCAAAAGGCATGGTCGACTACTCAGTCTGGTTACCCCGGGTTTTGATGAAGACATGATGAGTGTTCTATTCCAGTTCTTTGACCTTGCACATCACTGCTTCACTTTTCAAGATTATCAGCTAGTACCCACAATGGAGGAGTTCTCTCAATTACTAGGAGTACTTGTTCTTGATCAGATACCCTTCACCAGTTTAGATGAAGCTCTGAAATGAGAAGATATTGCAGTAGCCTTACATTTGAAGCAGTATAACATTATATCCAATTGAGAAACAAGAAGTCGAGTCAAAGGTTTTCTG